GAGTCAAATGCAGTGTTTGCTGCTTTCACAGTGACCCACATAAAGGATCATTATTACAATGAAATATGGATCCCAGATGCAACAGACTAAACAGGCAACAAGGGGGGGAGGTTGGCCTGTACGTCACAGAGTCGCGTATTTGCTCAGAACTGCTAAACACCTCAAATGATGTAGTTGAAGTTTTGGCGGTAAAGATTGAAACCCAAAACCTTGTCATTGTGATGGTACACAAGCCTCCAGATGCAACTTCCCAGCAATTCCAGGAGCAGCTTTTGAAAATTGACCACTGTCTGGAAAATCTCCCTACTCCTGCCCCAAACTTCTTACTACTAGGAGATTTCAACGTGAGACACCTAAACCGGAGGAGTATAGCAAACAATGTTTTAGAGATCACCCCAGGAGGCAGCTCAGATGAAAATTCACACATGCACAAACTATTAAATCTCTGCACTAAATTCACCTTAAACCAGCAAATATTAGAGCCTACAAGACTAGAAAATACGCTGGACCTCATCTTCACTAACAACGACTATCTGATACGTAATATAACCGTATCAAAGACAATACACTCAGATCACAACATAATAGAGGTGCAGACATGTGTGCACAGGGCTCCTGACCAGCAAAATGTGATTAGTCATGAAGGTCTCTTCACAAAATTCAGTTTTAATAAAAGCATACAGTGGGATCAAGTCAACCATGCCCTAAATGAAACAAGCTGGGAAGATATCCTAAACAACACGGATCCGAACATTTGCCTAGAAAAAATGAACTCTGTGGTTCTTAAGATCTGCTCAAGACACATTCCATTAAGAAAAAGAAAGAGAAGGTGTAAACTAGAAAGAGAGAGACGTTCCCTATACAGACGAAGGCGAAGAGTCACAGAGCTGCTGAAAGGGGCCAATGTATCTGAAATACGAAGGGAGGCACTGGTCAATGAAATTGCAAATGTTGAACTTAAGCTGAAGGAATCTTATAGGAGACAAGAATCACAGGAAGAACTAAAAGCCATAAAGGAAATTGAAAAAAAAAAATGCTTCTTCTCTTATGCCAAATCTAAGGGAAAAACAACATCCAGTATTGGGCCTCTGCTTAAGCGAGATGGGACATACACAGATGACAGCCAAGAAATGAGTGAGATATTAAAGTCCCAATACGATTAGGTGTTCAGCGAGCCGCTGCCCAGACTAAGGGTTGACAATCCAGATTATTTTAATTCTTAATTAACGATACTCAAAATTTGCTCATCTCAAAAATCTCGGATGTTATTCTAACTCCAAAAGACTTTGAAAAGGCAATAAATGACATGCCCATGCACTCTGCCCCAGGCCCAGATTCATGGAACTCCATGCTCATCAAGAATTGCAAGAAGCCCCTATCGCGTGCCTTCAGCATTCTATGGAGAGGGAGCCTGGACACGGGTCATCCCACACACACTAAAAACAACAGACAGCCCCACTTCACAAAGGTGGCAGTAAAGCAATTGCAAAGAGCTACAGACTGATAGCACTAACATCCCATATCATGAAAATCTTTGAGAGGGTTCTAAGAAGCAAGATCGCCAACCACCTAGATACCCATCAGTTACACAACCCAGGGCAACACAGTTTTAGAGCAGGTTGCTCCTCCTTGTCCCAGCTACTGGACCACTATGACAAGGTCCTGGATGCTGAGTGTTGAGGATAAACAATATAGATGTAGTATACATAGACTTTGCGAAAGTTTTCAACAAGTGTGACTATAGTGTAACAGCACACAAAATGCATGATAAAGAAATAACAGGAAAAGTTGGTAGATGAATCTATAACTTCCTGACAAATAGAACACAAAGAGTAATATTAAGCAGAGTAAAGTCCCAGGCAGCCACGGTGAAAAGCTCTGTTCCACAAGGGACTGCACTCGCTCCCATTCTATTTTTCATCCTCATTTCGGACATAGAGATGTAAGCCATAGCTCCATGTCTTCCTTTGCAGATGACACCCGGATTGCCATGGCAGTGACCTCCATCAAAGTCTTTGCGATATTCCAAGTGGAAATCAATCAAATCATCAAATGGGCCACTCAAAACAATATGAAGTTCAATGAGGAGAAATTTCAATTACTCAGATATGGAAAGCTTGAGGAAATTAAAAATGTATCAGGGTATACGACAAATTCTAACCATACAGTAGAGTGAAAAAGTAATGTGAAGGACCTGGGAGTGATAATGTCAGAGGATCTCGCCTTCAGAGACCACAACAATGTATCTACCTCATCTGCTAGGAAAACGATAGGATGGATAATGATAACCTTCAAAACAAGGGATGCCAAGCCCATTTTGATTCTTTTCAAATCGCTTGTTCTCTCTAGGCTGGAATACAGCGGTACACTAATGGCCCCCTTCAAGGCTGGAGACATTGGAGACCTGGAGAGCATACAAAGAACTTTCATGGCACACATAAGTACGATAAGGCACCTAAATTACTGGGAATGGTTAAAGGTCCTTGATCTGTATTCCCTGGAATGCAGACGAGAGAGATACATGATAATATACACTTGGAAGGCCCTGGAGGGATTGGTACCATGAAACTCACTCCCTGTGAAAGCAAAAGACTTGGCAGGAAATGCAACATTCCCCCAATGAAAAGCAGGGGCACCACGAGTACACTGAGAGACACAGTAAGTGTCCGGGGCCCAAGACTGTTCAACTGCCTCCCGGCCTACATAAGGGGGATTACCAGTAGACCCCTGGCTGTCTTCAAGAAGGCACTGGACGGGCACCTGAAGTTAGTACCTGACCAACTGGGCTGTGGTTCATATGTCAGTTTGAGTGCAGCCAGCAGTAACAGCCTGGTTGATCAGACCGTGATCCACCATGAGGCCTGATCTCAGACCGAGCCGCAGGGGCGTTGCCCCCCAAAACCCTCTCCAGGTAAACTCCAGGTAAAAACCACATTTATGTGATTTACACAGTAAAAGAGTTTATTATAACCATCCTTTATTAATGTAAATTCCACATTAATCTTTAGTGTTTCAAGGCCCTGTACAGAGCCTTGAAAGGTTCTAGAACCTAATCAGGGTACATGAAGTTATTGACATTACCTCTAGCCAACAGGGTACTTTTCATCATCCTCAAGTAACCAGTCAAGAGACCCTTACTTCTTTTTCAAGGGTGGCGAGGTGTTGAGATTTTAAGCAGTGTGGTTCTAGATTTGGGAGAGAGAGAGTGAGTGAGTGAGTTTTCCATTTGTTCACAATTGCTCATTAGGAAAAGTAATTATTTGGACTCACAAAACTTTATAAAAAATGTACAGAAGTTACAAAACAAGAGTAAAACAGTCTTAGAAAGGTTCAATCTATAAGATATTAGAAACACATCTAAATCTCTGTTATTTTGATGGCTGAACTCAATACCTGGAGTTTACCTGAAGACAGTTTCAGAGGTCAGTGCCCCACGGGTCGGTCTGAGACCAGGCCTCATGGTGGATTAGGGTCTGATCAACCAGGCTGTTACTGCTGGCCACACGCAAACTGACATACGAACCACAGCCCAGTTGGTCAGGTACTGACATAAGTTGCCTGTCCAGTGCCTTCTTGAAGACAGCCAGGGGTGTATTGGTAATCCTCCTTGTGTATGCTGGGAAGCAGTTGAACAGTCTTGGGCCCCGGACACTTGTTGTGTTGTCTCTCAATGTACTCGAGGCACCCCTGCTTTTCATACAGTTAAAAATTGCTATAAAATACTGTATAATGTACAGTGTGTAAAATACATCTTGTTTGGTATCCCATTTTCCTGTTAAAAAAAAATGCAGTTTGCTGATGTCCTTACAAATCTAAATAATTACGGTGTAACCCCGGATTTCGCACGCACCGAATAGTGGACGTTATGGATTTAAGACACTTTTTTTTGAGCAAAACTTTGCTCCAGATTTTGTACCTTGTCCCAGTCTGCCCGCCGGGACGCCGCCTCAGTCTGGCTCTGTCACTGGTTGAGTGAACATTCATCCAAAACATTTCACAATTTTTGTGCTTATTTATTGATTGCGACTGTGAAATGAGCCACCATGGCCCAAAGAACGTTCTTAGTGCCAGCTGTTTGGTAAAGAAAGTGAGAAACCACAATAGAATTCAAGAAAGAGATTGTAGAAAAAATACGAAAGTGGCATACGCTTATCCGAGCTTGCCAGGATGCATGGGAAATGCCAGTCCAGTGCCGGTAAAAGACAAAGAAGGGAAGTAACCCCAGAGAGGCCTTTGTTACCTGAAGTCCTTATGGAGTGGGATTTCCTTTCCGAACAATAACCTTAACTCTCTCTCCCCTCCTCGCCTACTTCAGTACGCCAACAAGAGTCTTCAATAAAGGTATGTAATGTTCATTTATCATTAAAATTAGTGATTTATATTTATTTCTCATTGTTTTCTGTATGTAAAACTATAGTTATTCTTTTAAAAAAATTTTTTTTTTTAATCTTTTTGGATGTCTGGAACTGATTAATTGGATTTACATTATTTCTCATGGGAAATATTACTTCGGTTTTTGTACGTTTCGGATTTAGAATGACCTTCTGAAATGGACTAGGTACGAAATCGGGGGTCCACTGTACTGTACTGTGCTTCTCTTGTTTGTGAAGACTTCTAACATTCATGGCTTAGTGGTAATGATAGTTTCTCACATTTAGTTAGTGGCTGGATTAAATACACAATACTCTTTACACAGATATTTTCAGGATATTATGGAATCTCTCTTCTTGGATGTGTGATCTTGGTATTGTGAATACTCTATGATGTTGGGTGTTCCTGTAAAAATATGATTTGGTCCCAGATTATCTTAATGGTAGACCTGTTACATTATATCCATCTTATCAGAAAAAATGTATTTTCAAAGAATTTGTTTCATAATTTTTAAGTGCTAGTACTATATGGGTCCTTGTGCACTAACATAGGTTTTTATTTTTAATTCAGACTTATTGCTTTACATATTGTACAGCTCTTCATACAATATTGTTCTGTATATTCCATAGCTTTTGTCATATCCACCAATTCTGGAGCCAATATCGCGATCAGGGAACAGAATGAGTGATAGTGATGATGATGGTTCATTCAGCCACTACTACGCCCATCACTACCTCCACCCACAGTACGTATAGTATTATCCTATAAGTCTGTTTTATCTCTATGGGGAAGTGGAAAAGAATCCTTGCTCTGTAAGCCATATGTGTTGTAAGAGGTGAATAAAATGCCTGGAGCAAGGGGCTAGTAACCTCTTCTTCTGTATAAAGTACTAAATGTAAAAAGAAGGTTTAAAACTTCAGAAAGAGGATGATGTGAAATATTTACTGACACTGTGGGGAAGACTTTGAGAAATGCGTTGACTGTGGAAAAGATATTCATATTCATGAAAGGTCTAGAGCTATCATTCAACTCCCGATGATTTTTTTTTTCCATCATACTATATCGCTTGTTTATGATTATTGCATATTCATTTAAATACTCAGTAAGATCATACCAACATTCAGAGGACCACTGATAAGCCAGTTGATGAGAACATTATCATATTAGAAAAATGTAGTGTGCATCATTTACCTGTGCATCATTTACCTGTTTAGCTAGTCCTAATTAGCACATCCTGCAGATAGATATGACTTGGGATAAGATAAACACATAGAGGCACACTTGTTTGAAGAGCCCAAACTGCCGTCATTATTTAAAGACATCACCACTTCCCATGGTGCATATTGAAGAGTCAGAATCTGAAGACTTGACCTTCCGTGTTTCAGACAGTAGAACTATTATTAATCTACAGTGAGCTCTCTTATTAAGCTATTCTATTGAGTGTAATTTTTTTTTTTTTTTTTTTTTTTTTTTTTTTTTTTTTTTTTTTTTTTTTTTTTTTTTTTTTTTTTTTTTGGCAGATGCACTTAAAAGTGTATCTAAAATTGATTTGCATGTAAAGTGGACATTCATAATTTGTGTGGGTTATGTTCCTGAAAACTGCATTTCCAATGATTTCCGCATCGTGTAGAGTGAAAAAACATATGGGGGAAAATAAGGTCACGTTCATCAAACCTTCATATCTATGGCCTAGGGGAAGCCAGCTGTTGACCTTGTTTAAAAGTTTATTTCTTTCATAATACTGCTGGTATATATAACAAAAATTAGACCAGAGGTCAGCAAACTTTTATAGGTGTTACCCCAAAGCAAATTTGTGTAGAGGGAAATTATCCACTAGACATGAAAGTCCACAGAATCTGGAAAACACAAGGAGCATTCAAATTCAAAATAGTTTATTGAATCCATTTGTATGGTGAATACAGTCATACAAGCTGAAAAGTATGTATTATATGTGATAAAGCAACTTTTAAAATAAAACACAAAATTATCAAAATAATAAAATGAAAAATAACCTGAATGAAATAAAAAATTGTAACAGATGTTACATAATTAACCCTTTGACTGTTTTGGTCATATATATACATCTTACAAGCCACAGTTTTTTGATGTATATGTATACTCATAAATTCTAGCAGCTTCAAATCAAGCAGGAGAAAGCTGGTAGGCCCACATGTGAGAGAATGGGTCTGTGTGGTCAGTGTGCACCATATAAAAAAATCGTGCAGCACACAGTGCATGATGAGAAAAAAAAAACTCTGACCGTTTTTTTTAATTAAAGTGCCGACTTTGTGGTCTATTTTTGTATAGTACAGTATTCCCTCGATAATTGTCGGGCTCGTCGTCCTTTTTGAAAATCGTAGCGTTATTTTCATCCACACATTGGCTCACAAATGGTCGGTTGACTCGCTAATCGTCGTTCGTCCTGGACATGTACTCACGGCTCTGAGCCGCCTCATCCTCCCTTCCCAGCCAGTGTGCCTTGTTTACCAGTGAGCAACAATCCCCTTACTTGTTCATACGAAATATTTCATAATATTCCATTCATTTTAGTGCTTGCAAGTTATTTAAGTGCTAAATAAGCTACCATGGCTCCAAAGAAAGCTCCTAGTACCAAGCCTTTGGTAAAGAAGGTGAGAAATACAATTGAATTTAAGAAAAACATCATTGAACAATATGAAAGTGGCATACGTGTGGCCGAACTGGCCAGGATGTATAACAAATCCCATACAACCATATCTTCCATCGTGGCCAAGAAAAAGGAAATCAAGGAGGCTGTTGTTGCAAAGGGGGTAAATATGCTGACAAAAATGAGATCAGTACTCGAAGATGTTGAGAGGTTATTATTGGTGTGGATAAACGAGAAACAATTAGCAGGAGATAGTCTTATGACTTAGATTATTTGTGAAAAGGCTAGGCAGTTGCATGATGATCTGGTAAAGAAATTGTCTGCAACGAGTACTGATATTTGTGAATTTAAGGCCACCAAAGGTTGGTTTGAGAGATTTAAGAACCGTAGTGGCATACATAGTATGATAAGGCATGGTGAGGCTGCCATTTCGGACAAAATTGCAGCTACAAAATTCGTAAGTGAATTCAAGGAGTACATAGAGGCTGAAGGACTGAAACCTGAACAAGTGTTCAGTTGTGACGAAACAGGCCTCTTTTGGAAGAAAATGCCAAAGAGGACCTACATTACTCAGGAGGAAAAGGGACTTCCAGGACACAAGCCTATGTAAGACAGGCTGTTACATCAGGGGCCATGTCTATAGGCCTGTTTTGGCCCCTTTCCATAACAAGATGTCGAATTCAGCTCTGGTCTAGTTGTCCTTAGACACATGTCATTTTAATATGGGGATTATCATTAGGAGACTGAACCGACTAAATAAAATGTGATCTTTATTATAAAAGAATCCATATAAAACTTAGTATGTGTTACAAAGTTCTCTCTCTCTTGTAGTGTTATACATAAAAGTATACATTGTCTGAGACTAAGTAATCTTCTAGAGCAGGGGAATGTATTAAAGGCTGAGTGCCTGAATGTGCTTAGAAGAGAGTGTATGAAGCTACTCTGAGCGAGTGTGGGAACCTGCTCAGAGCAAGGGTGGTGAACCTACTCACTGTACCAGTGAGTGGTAAGCTGACGTCAGGTTGGTCACGTGACTTAGGGAGACATCAGTACCTGAACTGCTAACTGGCACTGTAACTAGTGGTTTCCCACTACATGACAATAACAATATTATGAACGCATAACAATATAATATGACAATATTACCATTGACATATATAGAGTGGTCCCTCAATAATCGTCCGGCCTGAAAGTCGTCCATTTCGGAAATAGTCCTGTTTTTTCGTCAAAATATTGGCTCGCAAATGGTCCGGTAACTCGCTAATAGTCCTTCGTCCCGGACGCGTACTCACGCTCTGAGCCGCCTCGAGCCGCCTCGGCCTTTCCTTCCCAGCCAGTGTGCCATTGTTTACCAGTGAGCGACGGTCCACTCACGTGCTCCAGCGAAATATTTCATAATATTCCATTTATTTTAGTGCTTGCAAGTTATTTAAGTGCTAAATAAGCTACCATGGCTCCAAAGAAAGCTCCTAGTGCCAAGCCTTTGGTAAAGAAGGTGAGAAATACGATTGAATTGAAGAAAAACATCATTGAACAATATGATAGTGGTGTACGTGTGGGCGAACTGGCCAGGATGTATAACAAATCCCGTACAACCATATCTTCCATCATAGCCAAGAAAAAGGAAATCAAGGATGCTGTTGTTGCAAAGGGGGTAAATATGCTGACAAAAATGAGATCACCAGTATTCGAAGATGTTGAGAAGTTATTATTGGTGTGGATAAATGAGAAACAATTAGCAGGAGATAGTCTTATGATGTCGCTTATTTGTGAAAAGGCTAGGCAGTTGCATGACAATTTGGTAAAGAAATTGCCTGCAACTAGTGATGATGTGAGTGAATTTAAGGCCAGCAAAGGCTGGTTTGAGAGATTTAAGAAGCGTACTGGCATACACAGTGTGGTAAGGCATGGTGAGGCTGCCAGTTCAGACCACAAGGCGGCTGAAAAATATGTGCATGAATTCAAGGAGTACATAAACAGTGAAGGACTGAAACCTGAACAAGTGTTCAGTTGTGATAAAACAGGCCTCTTTTGGAAGAAAATGCCAAAGAGGACCTACATTACTCAGGAAGAAAAGGCGCTGCCAGGACACAAGCCTATGAAAGACAGGCTGACGCTAATGTTCTGTGCTAATGCTAGTGGGGATTTCAAAGTGAAGCCGTTACTAGTGTACCATTCTGAAAATCCCAGAGTGTTCAAGAAAAACAATGTTATGATGAGTAAATTGTGTGTGTTTTGGAAATCTAATAGTAAGGCATGGGTCACGAGGGAAATTTTTGTATAGTGTTTCAATGAAGTGTTTGGCCCTAGTGTGAAGAATTATCTCCTGGAAAAGAAATTAGATCTCAAGTGCCTCCTAGTAATGGACAATGCACCTGCTCATCCTCCAAACTTGGATGACCTAATTCTGAAGGAGTTTGGGTTCATCACAGTAAAGTTCTTGCCCCCAAATACCACTCCTCTCCTCCAGCCCATGGACCAGCAGGTCATTGCAAACTTTAAAAAAACTACACCAAAGCAATGTTTGAAAGGTGCTTGAATGTGACCTCAGACACTCACTTGACCCTACGAGATTTTTGGAAAGAACACTTCAGCATTCTCCATTGCGTAAGCCTTATGGGAAGGCTTTGGGGGGCAGTGACTACCGACTTTGAACCTGCTTGGAAAAATTTTTGGCCAGATTGTGTCCACAAGAGGGGGTTTTTTAAGGGTTTGGGGCTGACCCGATGCAGTTTTTAAATCCATTGGGGGCACGGGGGTCCGGGGTTGGGTGTGGTTTTTTGGGGGATTGGGAAAAGTTGGTGGAAAGAGCACAACAAAAATCACCACTGAGGGGCTGCAAGAGCTTTAGCAAAGAGCAAAAGATTGCACTCAGAATCTTGCTGCAGGGAGGAGGAAAGAAGATGGGGAAGGTGCCTTCTTCAAAATTAAGGAATTTTTTTTAAAAAGGGGGTAGGATGGGAAAGGGTTTTTGGGGAAACATCACCCTGAGAAGGAGTTGCAAGCCATATCAGAAACTTTGTACAGTGACAGGGGTCTTGGCCCATTTTAGGGAAGTTTTAAAGAGACGCCAGAAACGGAGCTCTCTGAACAGTTTTTTTGCAAGACAGGACTCCAGT